TATTGTGGGATTTCCAACTACTTACCATGGAGTTTACTAGGAACAACCACACTTACAAGTTAGCTCACAAATTTACAGCTACATCTCCTATTATTGAAGTGTCATTACAATACTTAGATGAGGAGCTCATTCACTCTAATTTAGGCTTGTTTCTTTATTTTCTAGAGGGTAGGAAGGTTGAAGCTTGTGAATTAAGTGGAGAATAGTTTCATAAACTGCAAAAGGTTGCTAAGATACTTTGAGGAGATTTTTACTTTACCTACCAAGTTACCCCATATAGGATCCATGACCACCACATTCCATTGGTGCAAGGAGCTACACCACCCAATATTAGGCCATCTCATTATGGTCCATTGCAAAAAATGGAGATTGAAAAAGCCGTACAGGAATTGCTTGATGCCAGCTTCATTCGAAAGAGCCATAGCCCTTTCTCATTTCTTGTCTTATTAATGAAAAAGAAGGAAGGCACATAGAGGATGTGCATAGATTATAAGGAGCTTAACTCACTCACTATCAAGAACAAGTATCTCATTCCCTTGATAAATGATCTCTTAGATGAGTTGCATAGAGCTAGGTACTACACAAAGTTGGATCTACGGTCTAGTTACCATCAAATCTTAATGAACCCTGCAGATGTGGAAAAAACAGCCTTTCGAACTCATAAAGGGCATTACGAGTTCCTAGTGATGCATTTTGGCCTTACCAATGCACCTGCCACTTTTCAGAGTCTCGTGAATGATTTGTTCAAGCCATATCTCAGACAATTTATGTTAGTATTCTTCAATGATATTCTCATTTATAGCAAGACTTGGATGGATCACCTGATTCATTTGCAGCTTGTTTTGGGAATCCTCCAAGACAACAACCTCTATCTCAAACAATCTAAATGCTCATTTGGACAAGCTTCTATAAAGTATTTGGGACACATTGTATCCCATGAAGGTGTAGTTGCTAACCCTTCTAAATTGCAAACTATAGAAGACTGGCCTGTACCTAAGAATGTGAAGGGGTTAAGAGGTTTTTGGGGACTCACTGGTTATTATAAGAAGTTTGTGTCAGGCTATGGGAATGAATATCAACCCTTGTACAAACTCACAAGAAGGATGCATTTGAGTGGGATTCAGAGGCTACATTAGCTTTTGAGCAACTTAAGTTGATCATGGTTTCACCATAGGTTCTTGCCCTTCCAGATTTCTCTAAAACCTTTGAATTGGAATGTGATGCTTATGGATGCGTTATTGGTGTTGTGCTACATCAAGCAAGGTCACCAATAGCTTTCACCAGTCAAGCCTTAGGCCCCAGAAACCAAGCCCTTTCTACATACGAAAGAGAGTTGATTGCCATAATGCATGTTGTGAAGAAGTAGCAAAACTACTTACAAGGAAGACATTTTATAATTAAGACTGATCATAATAGTCTTAAATATTTCTTAAACCAAAGGGAAAATACCCCATTCCAACAGAAATGGGTGTCCAAATTGTTGGGATATGACTATAAGATACATTACAAACAAGGTTATCAGAATGTAGTTGTTGATGCACTCTCTAAGGTTCAAGGAACATATCCATTGCGTGAATCTCCTATTCCTGTGGGGGACATGAGCATGGAATGCACTGCTATTTCATATCCATATTTTGGATGGATAGATGAACTTCGAAGGAGTAATGAACAAGATGTGTGGACTGTTGAGAAAAAAGAGAGAAGTAATGCAAGCTGTTCAAGATGGTTCTGGAGGTTTAACAGTGAGTAAGTATTCCATAGACAATGGCTTCTTATGCTACAAACGAAGGGTTGTTCTAAGTTCTACATCGGATTGGAGAGCTAAAATCATTGAGGAGCACCATGCAACTCCAGCAGCTGGGCATCAAGGAGTATTAAAAACTTACCATAAGATTAAAAGGAGTTTCTATTGGCAAGGAATGTACAATGACATCAAGAAGTTTGTTGCGGAGTGTCAAACCTGTCAACAAAACAAATTTGAAACCCTTTCACCTTCAAGTTTGTTACAACCATTACCTATTCCTCAAAAGATATGGGGTGGCATTAGCATGGATTTTATAGTGGGGTTGCCCAGTTACAAGGGAAAAACAGTGATCTTAGTAGTGGTTGACCGACTTTCGAAGTATGCCTATTTTGTGCCCTTGTCACATCCCTACACTGCCACTGAAGTAACACAGCTATTTATGGACCACATATTTAAGTTACATGGGATGCCTAGCACTATTGTTAGCGATAGAGACCTCATATTCATAAATGCATTCTGGAATGAGTTGTTTAAGTTGGAAAACTCAAAGTTGTGCATGAGCTAAGGTTATCACCCCCAAAGTGATGGCCAAAGTGAGGTGATGAATAGATGCTTGGAGACATATCTCAGGTGCTTTGTGGGTGGCTAACCTAAAAAGTGGGTTCAATGGCTCTCTTGAGTGAAGTGGTCTTTTAACACTTCTTATCACACTTTTTCCAAGTACACTCCCTTCGAATTGGTTTATAGATATCCCCCACCTCATATGGTACCTTATGAGATAGGAACTGCAATAGTTGAAACTGTGGAGCAAAGGTTGTTGGAGCGAGATAGGATCTTATCTGTGTTGAAAAGTAATTTGGAACTCGCTCAAAATAGGATGAAACAGTATAGTGATAAGAAGAGTTTAGAGAGGCAATTCATTGTTGGTGATTGGGTTTACTTGAAGCTGATACCATACCAATTGTAGACACTAGCCCCCCATAACTACCACAAGCTGCAACCAAGGTACTATGGACCATATGAGATACTTGAGAAGATTGGTGATGTAGCTTATAAGCTTAAACTTCCTGAAGGGACTAAGATACACCCAGCATTCCACGTGAGCTGCCTTAAGAAACAATTGGGAAATCACAACATTGCATAGTCGATGCTGCCTCAAGTGATGGAAGATAGCTTGGCTCACAATGATCCTAAAACGGTGTTGGCTAGGAAAATTTACAAGAAGGGAAAATTTGCAGGTGTGCAAGTTTTGGTGCAGTGGCAAAATTAGGAGGAAGACAATGCTACATGTGAAGATTTTGATGAATTCCAAGCTAAGTTTCCCGAGTTTTCCCTTTGAACCTTGTGGACAAGGTTTTCTCAAGGAGGGAGTATTGTTATGAATTGCAGGTCTGTGATCACTTCGATCACAAGAGTAATGATTAGCTATAGTAAAATGGGTGAATTGTAAGTGAATGGGGACTGATTTGTAATGATCTAGAATCTTGGGATTTGATTGTTAAGGGTTAAGTATTGTAGGGAGTTTATTAAATAAGTTGTTAGAACGTACAGTTGGCAATGTTCACACTGGATTGCTAGCTAGTGGGTATATATCCCTTACTACTCATTTTGCAACGATCATATTTGAAATATTAAAAGAATATTCCAGTTCCACTTCTTCTTCCTTCTTTCTCATCACCGCCATAGTTCCTTGACCTTAGGTTGATTTCTAGTGTAGAAATCGTGATCTAACAGGCGGAGGGCCAAGAACCTTCCTCGGCAGCATATCCATATGGCAATGGAAGTGCATGTAGGCCAAAAAAACCAAGCAACTCCTCAAGGCGCGGCTCTGCCGGGAGCACCAAATGTACGAGATGTGAATTTTCAAACCTGCGGCTAGTATGATTTTTTTTTTTTTTGATATAATCCCTAAATAGCATTCTGAGTTTTAGTTTTGGTTATGACCAAAGCCGTCATGGCAATTTTCTCAGATTTGGTGTTATGGGGGTTTCCAATACGCCAATGTAGCTGGCCAAAACGGTAAAGTCACCATTGTTCTTAAGGTTGGAACAATCGTCGGTGAACTGGGCTACGAGTAAAGGCAAGTATTGCCGGATTTCGTAGAGAGCGGCAGATTGGTGGATTTTATATTTTGCAGTTTCCATGCTTGTTTATCCAAAAACCATTCCCATTTTTGAGCAATTAGAGTTTGGTGGTATCTGGGTTTTTTTATTTGGATTGGTGCTTGAGAAAGGCCTATAAAAACGGTAAGAAGATGCTTGGGCGTTTGTAGGAGGTTTTCAGATTGAAAGTTAATAATCTTGTAGTGCACAGACGGAAAGAGTTAATACTTGTGTGCTTTTAGTTTTGTTAAATAAAAAAATTAATAGTTTAATAAAAATTAATTAATTTTTTATTTCAGTTGGCAAAAAAGTGGGCCCCTCTTTTGCCACATCATTATTTAATAGTTAATTTGATAGAAAATTTAATGGAGGTTTGACATAGCAATGAATTCATAAGTTGAGGTATGACAATGCAATGTTTAAAACATGAGGTATGCATTTGTGGTTCGATCATAGTTGAGGTTTAACTATAATTGGCAATAAAGAGAGTAACTCAATTACTTGCAATAACATGCAAGGTTCCTTATTTATTTATTTTGACATAGGATTCATACTCTCAACATGAGCTATCATGTGTGAAAAATTTTCAAGCCTAACACATAGACAATACAAATTTTGTGACGTGAGACACTTGTGGCTATTGGCCTTCATATACGAGATAACTTGCTCAATACAAATAGGGTGACATGAAGCATGTGTTGCCGTTAAGCTTCACACACTGAACAACATGCTTTGATACCATGAAAAAAAGTAAAAATACCACTATAAAATTAATTGATAATATGGGATAGTTCAATTACTTATAAACACAAGTAAGTTCATTTCCCCAATATGAGAAATATACTCTCAATAGTAACTTGGTTATGGATGTCTAGGTTTAACATTTTTTTTATACATCCTTGTTATGTGAGACGAATTCTTCTTAATTATAAATGAAGATAAATATTACTAAATCATTATGCGGCTCGCCCCAACCAGGAGTGGGCAGTGAATTGGCTCAGTACTTTTCTTTCTAAAAATAAAAAATATAAGTGCAAAATGATAGTTTTAAAGCGACAATAACAAATTTAAAAAATAAATACATAAATAAATAAATCAATCCTACTGAATGTCCTTGTCGGGTCGGGTGGAGACTTGGAGTCTGTATAACATTTGGGAACAATAATTACATCGGCATAGCGCAAGCGTAGGTTCAGGGCCGTGGGCTTCACCTCTGCTTCCTCCTTTTTGATGAGCTCCCTCCCTCTGCCTCCTCTCTGCGACAATCAATTCCAATTCCAACCAAAATGAACACCGCCATGAAAGCGGCTCTCACAAACTCCAAACTCAACTGCTGCATTTATGTGAGGGCCGCCCTCTTTCATTCCACCCCCGTCTTGGATCGTAAGCGACGCTCTTACTGGCAACCTGTAACTCTCTCTCTCTCTCTCTCTCTCTCTCTCTCTATATATATATATGTATATTTGCATTATGTATGTGTATATGTTTCTGGGTCAATGTCCATTTTGTTTATTTTTAATAATTTCTGCTAAAGTTTCTACTAAAGTTTGAAACTTGGTGATTTGGGTTATTGGGTATGCTCACTATGCGAGGATATAAGATAAGAAACCAAAAAAATTGGTATTTTTGGTGTTTTTGTTCCTTACCCTTAATGATTCTTAATGATTGCCTCTTGCTTCTGTGCTTAGTTTGGCTGTGAAAAGTTAGTGGAAGTGAGAAATAGATGGAATTTTGTGGATTATGTTTCATTTTGTTCTGGGGATTTGATAAAGTTCAAATTTTGTTACCTTTGCCTGAAAAAAAAAAAAAAAAGCATAGTTAGGATTCTAAGCTGAAGTTGATTGATTCATTTTTCAGTTTCCTGACCAATCAGGTAAAAGTTCAAGCTGAAGTTGATTGATTGATTCATTGCGGTAAAGGTTAAAGCTTTCGTCAAATGATATATTGTAAGCTATAACTAGAATGAAGATTTGCCCCATCTAATCAAGTAATTGAATCACATTCTAACTATTAAAAGTGCAATCTAAATTTAGACAGTGGAGTAACTTGAAGATGTCATGGCTATGGAGTGGTTTGTTCTCCTCTCTGTATTCCAGAAATGCTCCAACTCTTGATAGGACGAATTGCAATTATAGAACTGGTGAATTGAGAGGAGAGATGAATGACTATTTATACACCATAGTTTCCCAGAAGTTCTCTCCCTATCAAAGAGGAACTACCGGCTAGAAGTGGAGAGAGTAGGTAGCCAACTCTCTCTCAGTGGTTATCCCAGATTTCAAATCTAAAGTCTTTTAATTTTGCAGAACTCCATTTATTATTTAATGCCACGTCAGAAATGATAAAATGGCCTAATTGCTGGAAGTTATCAAAATTTTAACCTTGATGCCAAAGGACATTTGAAATGCTGTTCAGAATTTAATAAGGTTCAGTTGAGATGCTATATATTTATACTTGAAGGGGTGTAGAAAGTTAGAAATGCCCGAGAACTCATGTCTGGAAATGGAAATGAGGTGTAATGTATTTTCTTCGGAACTGGTAGGAACGTTGGTGCAAGGAATTGATCCTTATCCATCTTCTCTAGTCAAATTCGGTCCATATTTAGGAATGTACCTTGGAATGTATTCTTTTATGAGTATTTAGATACCATACCAATAACGTGCTGTATTTTTATACCCGATTCTGTTTGTTGCCACTAATATGTGTTTCCAACTTGTTTGCAAATATATTGAATTAGGAAATGAGCCCAGAGACATTAGGTTTTAGCAAATGATTGTATAATGTTACAGATTGAAAGCTGCACTAATATCTTTGATGCAATATAATGAGATAACACACATTATCTTTAAGATGGACAGTGTTAACAGCACACAAGAACACTCCCCTTTACTCTTAAAGCCTACATAAACAGCCCAAGCTGAGCCGACACATGCCTCAATCCTCTGCGTAGTTAGTAACTTTGCGTAATATTTTTTAAAATTACTTCATTTTCTCGTAGTCTTCCCAATTATGTGGGGGAAAAACAGGTATTTTAAACCAACCAGATTATACTGCACGTATGTATTATAACATTACAGTATTTTACTGACTACACTGCTCTGAAAGAGATATATATATATACATAGTACATACATACACACACACACACACACACACACACACACACACACACACACATATACACCTCTCTTCATTGAATAGTATGCCCTTAGTACCTGGCAACCTGCACAGGCTTATATCCTAGTGTTATAATAATCTTTCGAGCATACATTTTCTATTCACATTGTCAGGTCAGTGGCCAGTTTGTGGCACGAAGAGGGACCATGTAATCATGCTTAGGTTGTAGCTATGTTACTTTTGTTTACTTTTCTGCAGTTCAATTTTTTATTTCATGTTAACCAAATGAATTGATTGAGAGTTCTGTTTCCATCTAATGTGATGCTATCCATTTCTTTACTGCACTGGATATGTAGGATGTGTCAAATTTCATTGTTCATCTGCATTCTTTGTTTTCTTATCCCCATTCTTTCTCCTTTTGAGTCATAAGACCTTGTATTCTATTTCTTAATTCTGATAGTGGATGTATCTGTTTATTTGCAGAGATTGAACAACCATGGAAGAAGATCCAGAAGGCTCCATGGAAAGCAAGCGTTACTGAGGAATGTCAATGCTTATGCAGACTTCTTATTTCAGGTACTTCATTGTTAACTTGGTTTATATTATAATTTGAATTTGGTGATTGCCGTCACATTTAACTTTCACCTGCTAATAATCTTCTGCCAGTAATTTCCAAATGCTATGTTTGGATGAGGGACCTCAAAGTACCAAGGAACTTTATATTCAATTGTTGTTTAAAATTCACTACAAGAACACTACTGTTGAACTACTCAGGCACTACAAAACTACTACTAAAACACTACTAATTACTACAAAGACACTAAACAAATGACTTCAAATGTTTTGCATCCAGTCATTTTCAAATCCATCTAAGTTTTGTAGTGCATTCCTGACAAATTTAACCCAAGTTCCATGGGATGTTAAAGTCCGTCATCCAAACACATATAAGTGTCAAATGTGTAGATGATTCTTGAAGTTTCAGGAAAGAGCACCTGTCCAATGGCAGTCCCCGAACACTCAATCCCGTTTTTTTTTTTTTTGGAGAATACTTGTACAGAAATGATTCTGACTGTTATACAACGCCTTCTTTCGGTTTCCCAGTTTTGATGATTATGATTCCACGCAACAGCCTGTTTGTATATAGTGGGGTCTTGTTGGACATGATAGTGTGGATTGACTTCTTTTATCCTAGTAATTGTTTGATATGTTTCTAATCCTCATGGATTTCACATCTTTTGTAATTTTGTCCTGCACTTTTCCAATTTATGCATAGGCGAACTTTTAAACATTTGGCTGGCAGTCTGTTTTGTTATGTGAAAGTTTTTAATTATCTTGCAATTATATCTCTTTTCTGTAATCGCAATTATATATCTCTTGAATGTTGCAGAGTTGGCAGAACGAATACGATGAGGAGGAGGAGCCATCATCAAGTAGAGGCAGCTCATGGTTTAAAAAACAATACTCAGCCAAGGGGTCCAAAAAGAAGTCAGGCGATCAAGGAGCCTGGAATTACGGAAGAAGTAAGGAAGTAGTTATGCAGAAAAGGACGTAGTCAATCCTGTAGAATTAGATATATGAGTGGCATGTGTTAAGTTGGGTTAGGTTTTATGAGCATGTATTCTAGTCGGTTCCCATTCTGGAAACATTCTACTCGTATTCTTGGTAGAATTTTCTTTGGAGCCTTTCATGTGGGCGCAATTGTGGCCTTTGTTCAACAGAGATCATTAGGTGTAAGTCTGCGGTAAATAGTTTACCTTTTGGGCATAGATTGTGTATCAGGGCTCTGAACTCAATTACAATAGTGTGTTTTTCTAACGGCATCAGAGTGGGGCACCTTACATGTTCCTTGCATGATTGATGTTATGTCCTGATTTTTTTGTTCATTCCATACGATCTCAGTCCATTTGCACTGCTATTTCAGATGATTTCTGGTTTTGTGAAGAAGATGGAGACGTGGAGACGATTTTCCGATCCATGTTTGGTGGAAACAAATTTTATTATTGGTCATTCATTAATGAAGAGAATTCACAGCGGAGGAGCTCCAGTAATTACTCTAACTATGGGAGGTCTTGGAATTGGAGACATAACAATAAGGAAGAGTATCAATATGATTCTGAGCCTGAGAATTTGGAGTCAGATGAAAGGTTGGCCCTCGGGTTGCGTGCTTCGGGCCCTCTAACACTTGATGATGTCAAGAATGCGTGAGTTCTTTTCGCTGGGTTGCATTTTTACTTCTCAGTCACCCTTGTCCGCTCATATATTAATTTTCTCTATCATCTCACCCCAATCCTACTTTTAACAATTTCAGATATCGAATCTGTGCGCTGAAATGGCATCCAGACCGTCACCAAGGTTCTTCCAAGGTAATTAGCTCTAACCATATCCTTCTTTGACTCTCGTTATATTGGGATCTTTGATGCGGAATGCCATGAGTAGTAAACTAAGAGAGAGTAATTTGGCTTATGATATTTAGAACTAGAGAATCATTCTATTTCACCGGACTTTTAAGTGGTGAATCATTCACGAGTACTATACTACTATTTAGCTAGTATTTCCTAGCTAAGCTGCACATATTGACAAAGCAATTGTAATTCTTTACTGTATTTCGGGTTTTGGGTCATTTACGATGCAGTGGAAATGAAGATTTGTTGCAAGTGGTTAAGATGATCCAACGCCTGAAATAACTTGAGCACTAGTCGCTTAGGTGGCCAATTTTGCTATTTTAGCAGACTCGTATAGGCAAAACTAGTTGTGCATTGACTGACCAATTCATATATACTGTTGCAGGTGGCTGCAGAGGAAAAGTTCAAGCTTTGCAGCGCGGCATATCAATCATTATGCGGTAAATTGGCTGTGAACTGAGGATGCTCCAAGCCGGCTAATGTAGTGTAGTCACAGAGGTGGCTAGTAGGTGTAACATAATATCACATTTTTATTGAAGGTTGTAGTTTTTTAGCCGATTACGAGTGAAGCTCGAATTGGAGGTGACCAGGCTAATTAAGGATGATGGTTTACCACCGTATGAAGGGGTTGTCGAAACTTATTTATGAAACAAGGCAGGGGTGAGTGCATGGGGGTTTCAAAGGGGCACGGCAGAAAGTACAATAATCATCCAACGATAGCTGCATCAGGCAGCTTTGCACTGCCGGAAGTATGTCTGCATGCTTTTAATTTATAATTTTTATTTACTGAGGTTGTAAGAAGCAGCATTTATTTATTTTTCGCAATGTTGAGAATCCTTGAGATATAGAAAATAGAGACTTTATAATTGAGTCTATATTTTGAAGGAAATATGTGACTTTATAATTGAGTTGTTTTTTTTTTTGGTCGAAGGGTTACTTTATTAACTACCTGAGTGTATTTTCACCTTGTAAATAAATTGCTCCTTTAATTAGCATTAGAAATTTAATATCATAAAAAATAAATAAAAAATAACCCAGACCGCACTGGCGGTTTGGTTTGGTTTTTTTATTTTTTTTTTAATTTTTAGTGGTTATACCAAACCATACCAACCTTAATCGGTTCCTAAAATTCTTAGGGTGCGGTTAATCGACCTGACATGCATACATTTAATTTTTTTTTTTTAATAATAATTAATACGTGTAGTAATATAAATGTTTAGTTATTTACGTGTTACCATGTTTTCGTCACATGAAAACAAAATCTAATTAGTTAAGAGTCCTTTTGGAGAAGAAAAAGATGGACCATTTGGAGAAGGCAACAACTACTGCTTTGGTGCTCTCCTTGAGTTGCTTCATTTATGCTTTTCTTTGAGCAATCACTCATATTAGTGATACGTTCTGTAGCTGAAGAGAAATTTGTTATGTATTTTCATCTTCACATAAACCGAGAACCGATCCAAACCAACCCACCACTATTGGTCAACCAACCTGAACGGTCTTAGACTCATCTTGGTCTGTTTCAGTTTGCAATTTTGGCTCAACCAACAAGGTCGGTTTGGTTTCGCTTTTGGCCCAAAATCGACGCCCACGCCCACCCCTACTTTCCACAACGAGCCCAATGAATTCAAAAATTAATTTTTAGGCTAAAGTACCTAACTTAGCAACATTTTAGTGTCATTCTGAATTAGTTACAACATTTTTAAACATTTCAAATAAGTGCCCAACCTATTGAAAATTTGACATCCGTTAAACCCTAGTTACTTTTTCCGCTAATTGTACATGTGACAACAATGTGTCCCCTTTTTGAGGTTATATGGACACTAAAATAATAATATAAATAACTTCAAAATAACATGAAGATAAAAAATATAAAAATAAATAAACAATTCAAAGATAAAATAGAAAACAAAAACGAAGATCGGAAAAGATAAAAAAATAAATAAACAATCCAACCCTTCCCCCCACCCAACCCTCCAAGCTCAACCTACGACCACCAAAACCCCATCCAACCTTTATATTTAAAACCCACCAATTAGGTATATCATGATCTATATTTATTAGTTGTCTCAAAACCTAAATTTCAAGTATAGATTATATAATATGGAACTTAATGATCAAACGGGTATTGAATTGAATCGAAAATAAACCCAAATTGAAATTGCATTAGGATGGTAGTCTCGTAATAAAGAAGAGGGCTAATAATTCATATATGGATATGGACATTTCATCCTTTGCTTCAGCTAATAGTAGCTTAGAAACTGGCAAAATGTTACGAACCCTGCCCTTGGACATCTATTTGTTCCTTATTGTAAAGAGGGATGTAAATAGATTTTCACATGTATGTAAATATTGTTGCATCTCATATGAGTGTGCGAGTTTGTGTGTGTGTGTGTGTGTGTGTGTATTTACATATATTTAGAACTTTCTATAATATTTTATATGATTTTAAAACTTGCAGCATCGTGCAGACACCCTCTCTAGTTGTATCTAAAATAAGCTTTTGAGCTAATTTGCTAGTTTGTTCAACTTTTTTTTTCTTCTTTTATGCTATTATTTTGCACCCTCTTAAAGCGTTTTCTGTATCCGTCGAAGAGACTGGCAAGGCTTGGCAAGGCTAGGCCCTTTTCTTCACTCAGTATACTTCCTCACTTGTTTCTCATCGTTTCTTTAAAAATAGGATCGAGATGGAATTAATATGTGTGACTCAATTTTACGTACAATAGTCCAAAACATGTTAGTTTTTAAACGGTACTGCATACGGTCTAGTCCTATTCCACTTATGAGAGGTCTCAAGTCATATAAAAAGAACGTAAACCAAATCGAATAAGGCTATGTACACAAGTTCTCAAACACAAATGAATGTAATACGCTCTTTGCGTGTTCATAATATGCATAAATCCTCAACAGAGCAGTTCTGCATAAAATTTTATCGCCTTGTTTCCAATATACTTCACTTTAAACAAAACAACCATCAAACAACAAATACTAGAAAATCCATGTTAGTTAGAGAGTATTTTCTTGTCTAACTCCTCGTGATTTCAGAGCAAGCTATCAGCACGAGATGGCAGTCTTCTGAAGAAATTGCTTGGGACCGAAGGTAGCTTGCTTCGGAATCTAGGATGCCTTAGCCAAACAATGCCTGCAGCCAGAGCAATCATCTTGAATGGTGTCACGTAGAGCACCACAGCGGCAATTAGACACAAAAATACGAACAAGCTGCTTGCTCTTGGGTCTCTCCAGCTGAGCACAGCCTGGAATCTCTCCCCCTGTGTTGCAATGTCTCCAACCACCGTCTGAATTCTTCCTGCCACACTGCGCAGTCTGTTGTACCTCATTCGCACCACATCTTGTGCCTTAGACGTAGGGAAGGTGTCAAATTCTTCATCCATTTCATCCGGGTGAACTGCCTCTGCCCATGAGAGTTTAGTTTCCATGTGAGGCGGATGCCTTGGACGGAAGCGGAAATTCCATAGTCCAACGAGAAACATGTAGAGAAATGTAGTTGGCAGGATCAATTCAGGGTAGCAGATCAGTAGGAAAAACAGGAAATGGACTAAAACAGTAGTGATTGGGTTTTTCCACTGACGAACTTCACCTAGCCACCTGCTCATGGAGATTAGACCCGAGAAGAGAGAGACAATCCTGAAGAAGTTAGCCTTGCTTCTTCTCATGCTCCACATGTGGGAGTCTACATCTAGCATGTACTCGACAACCTCTTTCCTCAGCGGCGGTTCAGCTCTTCCAAGTCTCACGGCTACAATGTTCATTGCCTGATATCTCAGATTATCTAGCTGATTTACAGTGAATGGATGAAGATAATGCATTTTTGGCAGCAAGGGGTGGCCATAGAGGTAAATTATATTAGCAAGTGAGAGACAGGTAAATCTTACTGCTAATTGGAGCTCCCCCATCTTTTTCAATCCGGATGGTTGTAGGACTAGAAGCGGATAGGAGTTTGTATAAATTCGATCCATTTCCAGGGTTGACAACCGAATTCTTACCTTGCCAATTCTTGAGTCATTTTTAGCTCCGCTGCCAGAAGTTGGTTTCTCATTTCCACCGAGGTGGCAGTTGTCGAAAACTCCCAGTGTGATCACCGTGCAAGGGTCGTAGACCTCCCATGTATATTGTTCATTCCACTTGGGACTGAAGCTTTCGATGATTGTTCTGGTCCTCACCCATTTCTGCCCGTACTTGGCTACGCAGTAAGCATCTGTTGTTGCTTTGCCATCCTTGTTCTTCATTGGAAGAAGCCCTTGGGCACTTAAGATACCTACTTGAAGAATCCCAATTGGCTGCTTCCATAGCTGCCTGGCAGTAGGCCTCACGTCGCTTATGTACAAGGTCGATTCATCTAGAACATGGTAAGCACCCTCAAGACAGACTCTGAGATGGACCCTGGTCGAAAACTTGAGCTCATGTCTCTTGTCTCCCTCCAACGGACCAAAACCAAATTTTTCAAGGTCGAACCAACGAGAATGGACTGGCCTGTGATCCAACCGCCTCTCAAAGATTGCCAGCGGCAGACTTATTTTTCCCACCTGTTCATCTTTTGCGGCACTCACTTTATTTTCAACTGTAAGCACAAGCTGTTCTTCAAAAGGCTCAGCTGCTACGAAGATCAAATCTTCGTTCCACATGGGATTAGGTGTCCTGGTTGGAGATATCTTTGTTTTAAGTGTTTGATTTCCGACATGAGCCGTGATGAAAGCTTGCGGTGGTTGGCTTCGATCATGTGGCTCCACATCCTGAGCTTCAATTACATTAACTCTGAGGTACCACAGCTTCGGCGAGACATAAACCTTGGAGCGAATGCTGAAAACTCCCTCTCCGTGAACTGAAGCAGCATCCGAGTGCCATGCTTCTGGGAAAGCTTCATCAGCTTGTGTACCCATCCAAACTGCAAGCATCACCTTTCCTCTAACCTTAGTATCGCCACGCCAATCTTCTAATCTGTACCATTGAGGTGCCAAAGGGCTATCTGGTGGAACTCTAGTCGGCACCTCATTCATGTCAAATACCACCTTCCCAACATAGTCATCTCTTGCCACCAACTCTCTATCCTTGACATAAACTTCGAGTATCGTAGACTGAATCTTCTCTTTCGAAAATGCAAATACTTGCTTCCATTCAGGGTTTGTTTTCTTCTCATAGTGCTTTGTTTTGCCCTTGCAAGTCCCCAGCTTCACTTCTATATAGGGGTCACAGCTTCCCGTCACGGGGTTTGTCGGAAGATCCTTGGCTTTTTCAACTCTGACATATAGATAAAACATCTGCTCAACAAGGTCATAAGTGCTTGTAGCTCTTTCGCTGCTTATCCACCCTCCTCCGCCGCAAACTCCTCCATGTGGCCATCGTTCCCCAAGCTGGGGCTTTGTGTCTTTCAACTTGTAGTCTTCTTGGTTAGGTGCAACTTGTGACTTCATTGGTGCAACTTTGAATGCTTCTGTAGTACTTGAAAAAGCGCACACTTGTACATCAGTAATAATTATAGAAGATACATATGCTGCTGGAGATGAAATCTGTTTCAGACAGAGAATTCAAGTTCCTCTTACCTCAGCACACAAGAAACGCTTCAATGCCAAGAATTGCCCTCTTGATAATCTTCACCTTCTCTGTTAGATTTGTATGTTCTAGCCGACGATTCTTGTCTTAGGGTAAATTCGCGACTGTGAATTTGAGCTGTTTAAGGCTTTAGTAATGCTTAAGGTACAGTACTCTTGAATTCTGCTTCTCTGGTATTAAGAGCCACCTTCTACAATCAAGTCACGTAATCCTGCATTGTCTTGTGTTCAAACTTTTTGGGAATCTGCCACCTACACCACCAGTTTGGAATTGCCTTTTTGGTTGCTGTCATGTAAATTAAAAGTAATTGTTGTCATATTTGATGGGATAAAGAATGATGGAAGTTTTTATTGAAAATTACTATAGCATGGAGGAAGTGTGATGGTAAAGGTATTTACTACCTAGAACCACTATTCCGACTCTCTTAAAAGTAAGTTCAAACAAGACTTACTAACACCCAGTCGTAATATTTCTTCTTTATTATCATATTTTGTTATAGTGAGCCCAAGCTGCAACTTAAATTTTTAAGCAAATACTGTATGTGTTAGTAAGTCTCGTTTGAACTTGCTTTTGAGAGAGTCTGAATAGCGATCCTCTTTACTATTTGTATACATAAATTTTGTAACGAGTAATGAATGTAAAGAAAGCAAGAGTTCTGATTAGTTGTCCAGAATTCTATATTTCTGGATAGAGATTAAGGATGCACCACTTGAGAGGACAAAGATGGTCTTTTGAACTTCAAAGTTTCAAAACATTGCGACTTTAGTGCAACTTTCACTTTCCTATATTCTCTCATTTTTATTTGTTTATTTGCTATATTGTCAAACTTGATGATGAACAACCCAGATTACCCTTCACCCTACCTTGATTGTTCTGAAGATTCCTGCATTCATGACCAGTGCATTCTTGTAATTTTGGTTGAAGTGCATCACTTGGACTACTTGGGCAATTCTCTTCTTTCTGCTGCAAAGCTAACGTATCCAAAGCAAAACAGATAAAGATGATTAAAGAGATGGTTTAAAGCAGTGTGGTGACCTTAAAAGAAGAGCAAAAGGATTTACAGAAAGAAAGCTTGACGGCAGGTCACCTTGCACACAAAGATGCTTTTGCTCATTGTTCTCTCTTTAATTTAATAAACATAATTTAGGAATGAGAATGTTGCTTTTCTTCTCTAAGAAAAAAAAAATGAAGGATGTTTTAGTTGGTTACTGGTTAGGATGCATTCTTGCATATGACAGGTGCATAGACACAACTTCTCTCACACAGGAACCTTCTCGTGTGTTAGTCGGAAGATAAGTTATTGTGAAAAAGATGTTATGCATTCATATATTTTATATGCATGCAAGAATTTCTCATCAGTGAATGAATGACACAACCTATGTGAAGAACTTTGTTATATGTTCAGCATATATGCTGCCTTTCGTTTAGGAGAGCACTACAGCAATAATCTTCATTTTATGCTATGGAAGTTTTCTTAGAGATTTTCTAGTATGCACTATTGTATACATGTATGTGGCCATTGGAAGATCCTAGATTGCACTCCAACACTTTATTCATCTGGTGCACCGGTGCATAATTTTTCGAGTTACTATTCCCGCAAAACTAAATTGCTAGAAGATATAAAGAGTCAGCTTTTAACTGCCAAAGATGATGTCAGTTAGTACTACGATTTATTGGTATTTCTCTTCACTTGTAAGTGAGAGTTTTTAACTTGGACTCTTGCCAAAAGCGAATTTAAACCAAGCTAGCTCATTCCTCTCTACCCCTTATTGTATAATATCGAATGTATTAAAAACTACAATTAGTCTGGAGCACTTGGTAACATCATGAAGGCACGATTTGCCCTTCGTGAACTTGTTTGCAAGAAATTGACTAGATAAATGCTGCTCTCATCAATTGGAAGCAGCTTTAATATTATTTCATAATCAAGTGTTCTTTTGCTCTTTATTTTAGTGTAATAAAATGTGCATTCGACCAAAAATCGGTATGGGATCCCAAATCGAAAATGGGATCCCGAATTCCAAATCGAAAATTTTCACGACAGGAATTTGAAGACCAACTCCAAACCAAAATTTCGGTACTCCTAATTTTCAGGATTCCCAAAATATTTTCGGTATTTTGAGATGGTTTGGTATTTCCAAATTTCATACAAATTGAAAATAGCAAGCACTCATATCAGGTTAAATTAACATGCAACCAAAATAAAATAAGTAACAAACCCAAAAGCAAAAAAAATAAGTTACAAACCTAATATGTTTGAAAGCTAACAATAATTTTTTTTAATTTCGTGTTGAAGAATTAGACACATTTGTGGGAGGTTTGTACTGGCAAATGTGGTAATAAAGGGCTATGGTTTCTACCAATAGACCACACCAATTATATTGCTACCAGTAGTTAGCAACAATTCAAATGTATAATTATACATATATATTATTTATTTTCGGTTCGGTATGGGATTACCGAAAGATTGAGTAGACAATACCGAATCCTATACCAAAATTTCGGGATTGGTTCAGTATTTCATCCCGAAAATTTTACGAATTTTAGTTTGGGACTTTTTTGGTTTGGGATCGGGATTTTTTTAGTTTGGTTCTGGATTTTTGAGAATTTTTTCCAGCCCTAAAAAAAGGTGTAATAAAATGTGCAAAATAAGAAAAATTTCACCACTACTTAAAAAGACACTTTAAATAATTTGTTTTTAAGCGTTAACAAGTGGTCCCAATTTGCTCATTTTATATTAATTCAAAATTTTATCATTTATCCATCTCTTCCCGAAAGAAAAAAGGAGACGACGACCATATATGTAGGTTAGGTGATCTTCAAGGAAAGGTAATGTACAGCAGCGCTGTGGCTTCCGGCTGACCTTGAAGGATAAAAAAAATTTGAAGAATTTAGCCTCAAGATTGTGCACAAACTAGAACCATTGCACCAAAACAAGAGAAAACTAGGGTTGATTTAGATAGGCCAACAATGCATAATAAAACAAACGTTTTAAACATTTGTAACTCAAGTAGTTACGAGGGTTTATTCCTGCACCTAAATTCTACGTTTCATTCCTCCTTTCTACACTCTTGCTTGTATATATTTAAGTACCCAAAAGTCACTTTAGAATTATGAATGGAGTCACGAATGTAATATAGATAATGCATTGCATGCAACTTTACACAAATTAACCCTAAAAAGCAAAAGGATCCAAACCTGAAAGATTTCTTCAGTAAGCAGAGAATTGGATTGAAAGTTTGACGACATTTAGCAAAACTCAGAAAATCAAGTATCTAAATTTGCAAAGAACCAACAAATTAACAATGTTTACGAGTATATATATGGGTTTGGGGGAGAGCCATGGGCGCTGCTCCATTGATTTCTAATAGATATTTAGTTAACTTTCATCTGGCCTCCACAAATAAAAAGAGGTTTTTTTTTTTTTTTTTTGGAATTATTATTAGCATTCCAAAAATCTTATTTTGTATTCCAAAATTACACTTATGAGGAGCGTAGAATGAGATTTTTGAAGTGCTAATAACAATTCTCATTTTTTTTTTTTTTTTTTGCCAACTTGTTAGAATTTTATTTTGTCAATGTGGATACATTTACTCAAAAGTTTGTCACATACACATATCACATAAACATATTTTCCAATTCCGGTTATGGTGTGAGCGTGGTTCAATTCTGTCTTCGGTTTCAAAACTTAAAATCGAGCCATAAATGACGGGTTCGATTCAATTGGATTTTGCACAAAAGTTACTATATCAATGAACCATACCGAACCAACCCAAATTCGATTTGGTCAGTTTGATTTGGTTTGGACTTTTGCCGAGTTGATTTATTCCCTTGTACTTCAGAGGCATGAAATTAAGTTTTCGTAAAAGTGAAACAAGAGAAATTATTTACAATGAGTTCATTTTTGCTCACCCCCTAAGGTGATGGGGATGCTAAATTGCACATATTGCATGTGACTTATCAAAGCCGGATAAGTCATCAAGAGTGGCACATATCGACATCTGAGAGAAACGAAGGAAGTTCAAGCCTTTGGAGAAACTAGAAAGCTCTCTGGCCAAAGCAAACACCAAATACACTTGTGTTCTTCATCCAACTCGTGAAGAATTAAAAAGTGCAACAAACACGTGCCGATTCATCCACCACCAAATCCAAAGATCACCCACCATGAGAAACTCCTCGTGGTCCCATTTCATCAAGATCAAGCCTCAATGGCCTTGAAGAAATCACTAGCCTGATTCAGGATCAAGTGTTCACCACCTTTGAATCGAATTCTACTTTGGGGTTTGGATCAAAGAAATATTCTTATAAAGGAATAGCTATAAAGAGATTGTAACCATAAACTCTCATTAATACAAAAATATTATATTGTACATGTGTTTTTGTTTCATTCGTTGCAAGAATTTTCGTGTTTACAAATTTAGCACACCTAGTAAGAGCATCTTTGCCTCTCATCTTTTTTCTCCAAGTGACTCAACTACAATTTGCTCTCTTTACATTTCAAGTTCTGGTTCCCAATTCATTTAGTGTGGACTGCCATTTGTACCCAAAAAAAAAAATTGTGTTAAATTTTGGTCGAGAAACCAACCTTTTCAATAACAATCGTCTATCATGAGTAGTGTTTCATAATTTTAGTACGAGTAAGTATGATAGCATCAGGCATTTAGATTTGATTCTCGCTATAGATGGGGAATCGATTCATGTCAAACGAGACTTCTTCACTTGTCAGTGGCACGGGGCTCTTCTTGTTTTATTTCCTGCTAACTTATTGTGAGGTTTAACCTACGCTCTTATTCCCTTAATCTAAAAAATATTGTTTTGTTAAAAAACAAAAAAAATATATGATAGCATCAGACGCTCATGAACGCATGAATAAGTAATCTAGTTATGACGATTTGGGCCTATGGACTACAGGGCTTCATGTCACAGTGGGTCTTGTTAACAAAACCATAGGGCCCAATACTCGAAATTCTATACCACATTTGTGCAATCTGTAGCCAACTATACGAGGTATGCTTGATTTTAATTTTTAAATGCATCCAATAACAAACGTAAATGGGAAGACACGTTTGCATCTAGAGACTAGATTTGATGTGGAATATCAATTTAGATCCGTAATAGGTTTGTTGTTCTTGATTATGACAAGCAATGGCTCTAAAAAAATGTGTATTCATGTGTAACCAGAAAGATGAGTAAATCCTAAAATGTGTTATACTTGATAACAACAAACAAGTTAAGAGTTTGTCTGATAAGTATTTTCTTTTCAGATTTTAGTTTCATTTATACATTTTAGAAAATTTAAAACTAAAAACTTGTTTGTTAATTATTATTAAAAAAAAAAAGCCTTAAATCTATCCATAGATGCCATTATAGGCGCAACGGGACAGATGTCCCCACTCATTTTCTTTATAGAAAAAACAAATATGTACTACATGTCTAAGTAACATACCCCGTTAATAACCACTTATATGAAATAACATAATCTTGTTAAATTGACAACACTCATAATCTTGTTAAATTGACAACACCCCACCCAGGTTTAATGACTACCCAACATACAAATACCTAAAAGAAATTATATAATGATCGTGAAATTAGATGGAAGAGGAGTATCAATGATAACATGGTTACATACAGCGACAACCGTATTTAATAATATGGTGAGTTGTTTTTAGTAGTTTAAATTATTGAGTAGTTAGACTTTTTATTCATATTCTTTAGATTTATTTTTTGTTACTATATTATTTGAGGATACCGCAATGAACAAAACTTTTGGCTCGTTCATGAACCTACCCAAATGTCCTCATCCTATCGCTCTTCATGAATCAGTAGTCATCCTTTGCTTGTCTTGTAATTTAACCTCATAGTTTAGGTATTTGACTTGTAATATAACCCTTGAATTTAGTCCATACCGACTACCATATCGTCCTTGCCAGCATTTTGGTAGGGGCTTTGCTGAGCACATCATTGACAGCTTGCTATCGGTTTTCCATCACTCACACGTCAATTTTAGTCACTCATCCAACAGCTATTGGACCAAATTTCACACAAAATATGTTTTCCAGGTTTAACTTGCTTTTCAAGCATTATTATGTATGGTATTATGTGGTCCGATTTCGATTGATTTCTCCATGTCCTTTGTTTAATTATTCAATCATTTATGGGTTCAATGCATATTTACACGACTTTTGTGTTTTAATGATCACCAATATATTTTCAACCTCTCCATCAATCTTTATCCTTACATGTTTCACATGTTACAAAATTAGAATAAAGATTGATGGAGAGGTTGAAAATATAGTGGAGGATAAAGATTTATTTTCATCTACTCACAACAAAATGCGACGAGGGAGGTGTTTATTTTCATCTACTCACAACAAAATTTGGATTTTCATGTAGTAGCTCCATCCTTATTCCCAATATATCGACCGAGAAAATAAATCTTTATCCTCCAATAACTCATCAATGACAAAAAGATGTTCATTGATATAAACATAAAAATAGAATTAGAGACCAAGAGATCATGAATCTTCTAAAAAATACTAGACAGACCACATTTTTGTGCCACATTGATGTACTATTTGATGTGGCAAGTGATGTATTTATGTCACGTCAATTCATGAATTAATATTATTGAATATTGGTTGTATATATTACTTGTCACATGTGATAGTATACTAATGTAGTAAAAATATGTGGTCTTCCTAACATTATTCTTAGAATGAGAGAGCAAGAACATCATTACCTAAGTTTTTTCATTTTAAAATTACTATTTTAAAGGGAAAATGAGATGGTTCGAAACTATTACAAATATTTAGGGAAATTGTGAGTTTTGAACCCGAAACACATGGGTAGAAACCTAGGCTATTCACTATAATATTGAACCACAAAAACTGTTTCCTAAGTTCCAAAATAAACTAAGAATGTGGATAACATCAACATCAAATTTACTGTACGTAATCATAATAATGATAAGATGATAAACAAAAGGATGACACACAAAACTTAATCGTGAAGAAAAACAAAATTCCTAAAAAGATGTTGTAGAAATTATGGGAGATATTGGTGTCTGGAATAATGGTTTTGTCAACGTCGTTCTGTATTAAGATAAGTTCCTTCATCGCAATGGTATCTAATCAACAAATAATGACAAGACAAACCACAAGATAGGGTTTAGGATGACATTAAATTGACTAGTTGTAGTTGAACGATCGTTATGGTTGACAAAGAATCTCAAACAGAAAAAATTAAATACAATTAAGCTAGCAAAAAATATACAAATTTGAAGTTTGCATCTTAACTTGAAATCGCTTGAATTTTCCATGCAACGAGATGAAGATGTAGATGGAATATTTTGTATCTTAACATGCAAGTTGCCGCACATCTGCTTGGCATGCTTTTACACATAGGAGAGCATTCCCATTCGCGACCAGTGAAACAACGGCTTATCTTCCCCATCTTCAAGATCAGATGAAGATCCACCTCTCATCCAAAACACACAAGTACCAAAATACAAAAGATCTTCATCGAATCGACCAGATACGCTAAGTGAAAATTTAGGAAAGGTTCTGAGCTCCAAAAAGATGACAAAAAGTTGCATGAGACTATTAATTGTTCTTGGTTTGAAAAACCTTCCGCTTTGACTGGAGGAGTTCGACATGAGGATTTCATCTAATTGGATAGTAATTTTGACATTCATCATTTTTTCTTCTAGACTCGTTAATCTTTGTGTTTGCCTAATTATAGATTTTCATTTCATTAATTCAATCTCGATCTACTAAGGAGAAAAAAAAAAAATACAAACGCCTAAACTATATCCAACTGTTGTCTCCAATAACACATCTTCCCGAAGGACAGGCCAAGCCAAAGACCTTCCACAAACATGAAAGTATTTGTACGCGTAGTCTATCATCATAGGATATCTCAAACCAAGATCTTCCATAAATATACTAGTTAACTGTCTGGTAAAGGAAATTTTTATTTATTTATTGATCTCATGTAAAAGATCGATAATTTTTCAGTCTGTTCAAAACAGAAGAAGTATTAGTTGAGAAAAGTTTTGTTTTTCAAATGTCTAACCACTTGTATAATGATATGTAGTGTATCACATTATGTTCCGAACACACTGAAAAATTTCTAAGTAATGCTAGGAATACTAAATTTGTAAACAAAATTGGCAAACCAAATAATGTGTCATCAATATGAAATGAGCACATTTATCAATGTTTAAGTAATAATTTAATCATCAACTTTCTTAATATTTTATTTACAAATTTTATCTACAAACTTAATCTCCCTAATATTACTCAAAATCTCTAGCAAAAGATCAAATGGGCAAACATTAGATCATAAATGTAGCATATGTGGGAAAATGATCATCAAAATATAAGTAACTATGTTTGAATCCCCTCTCAAAACACATAAAACCCAACAACAAAACCGTTTTAAAGGGCATTTCTAGCAAAATCGTGTCTAATTTCCTCATCAATAACAAAAATATATCATATCACCCTTTCCGTCTATGGTTTCTAAAACTTATAAGGAGAAACCAGTGAGACAAAGACTGGGAAAACCAAACATAAAAATAAATAAAATAATTAAGAGAACAAAAGACAAAATAAAACCCAACTCCAAGCCAAAATATATACAAATGGAATGGAGAGTGCAGGATATCAGATTCTATGTTGACATCTCATGCAGCTGCACCTTGATGCTGCTGCATGTGGGCCTGAGCAGCGAATGGATTTAACCTTGGCTGCTTCTTCTTAGCAGCATTGGACCGGTTTGCTATTGTTGTGCTTTGAAAAAAAACTGTTTCTGCTGTGCTGTGAGAATAAGCAGCTGTGAAATAAATTAACAGAGTGTTTGGTAAACTTTCTTTTGTAAAAGTGCTTTTGAAAAAAAAAAACAGTATTATAGTATTTGATAAATTTTTAAGTAAAATAGATGTGAAAAAAAGTCAGATTTTTCAAAGCTGAATTTGGTAGCTTCTTATTTTTGGCTTTTTCACCTAAAACTGTGAAAAAAAAACTGAAACTTAATGTTTATCAAACACAAAAACAATTCCCAACTTTTTTTTATACCAATTTTTTTCAGAATCACCTCAGTACCAAAACAGTCTTTTATGTGGTTGTTGGTGGTGGTGGTGGTGGTGGTGGTGGTGGTGGTGAAGGTGTTGGCTGAGGCAGTTGTGACCACGCTCCCACATGAGGGGCACATGGTGAGTGTGGTTGCAGGCAGCTGCATGTAGAAAGGCTGAGAGGTCTTCAAAGTTTTTAATTCTGGCAGTTCTTTTTGTAACCTCCTATTCTCTTCTGTCAGTGTTTCACAGCATCTCTTTAAGTACTCGCAATCTACTTCTGTCTGGTTCAGCTTGATCCTGTATAATTATTTCATCGTTTTTCCAAACAAAAATTAGTAATTTAAAGAAGGCCAACTACTTTAAAACATGGGAACAAAATGTCAATGGTTCGTTAAATTTTTTTCAAAGAAAAAACCAAAATATTTAGTGTCTGTATTTTTATTTGATTTATTTCATTTAGAAGTAAGAAAAGAGAGAAGGATTTGCAGAACGAGAGATGTGCCAAATAGTGATTTATGAGATAATATCTAAATTTCGGTTTACACTAAATTCATGGTGTGATCACGTGTGATTGTATGAGAAAAAAATTATATTAAAGAGAAACAGAAATAAAACAGTAGTATACCTTGCTCTTCGATTCTGAAACCACACTTCCACTTGGCGAGGACGAAGATTCAACTGTTTAGCCAGGACAAGTTTTTGCTTTTGCAAATATTAAAAAATAGACCAACAAACAATTATTCAAAATTAAAACAGGAGAATTGTTTACTCTCTGAAGTTCTAAACAAAAAACTTAAGTATTCTTTGTTCCCTTGACTTACAGGATTCAGAGTGCTGTGCTCTTTGAAGCTCTCCTCAAGAAAAGCCGATTGATCTTTAGAGCGCCTGAGTTTCTTCCGAGTCGACCCGTTCTCCTCGTCATCACTCGCTCTGTCGGCATCAACCTCCAAATCTCTTTTACTCGATCTTCCTCCACTTCTCATTCCAAAATCCATCTGAAACGATGAAACCGTGCTGTTCGGAGATGATACCGGCGCCGCTGTATCATCTGCCCCCTCAGCCGAGGCCACCACTCCAGGCAGCCGGTTCACAACCGTATTCCCGGTCCATCTGATGAACCGGCCGGTTCAGACACAGCCACTGTAACAAAATCAACCCAATATGAGAAAATAATCACAACCAATTTAATCCCACAAGGTATAAAAATTTGGGTTGTGCTCGGATTCTAAGAAAATTAACCGGATGAAAAGAAAAATGAAAATTTAAACGTAAATTAAAAAAGTGACAATTGACAACCATATAATTTAGAATTATATAAAAATTATGTCCTCGAGGGTAGTCCGAGAAAGTCGGAGAGTCGGTTTCTGGCGATCAGCACACGAGACCCTAGAGGAGTGACGGTGGGAATTTGCACGGAACTGTGCCAGAGGTTGTTGTGGTGATCGCGAGCGTGAAGGCAGTACTACGGTGGCGTGCGGGGGGCGGCTGGGCCCTATGGAGGAACCGGATGCGGCAGGAATCATGGAGGAGTTAGGGCACAACTTGGGGGATATGCTTCAACTTACAGATGAGGAGAAAGATGGAATTGTGACTGAGAGGAAGGATGTGGAAGAGGCATTGATTGGGTTCCATCATATATTACTGGCGGAGGTACTAATCGAGAGGGTGATGCATGGGGAGGCATTTATCGATCGGTTCACATCATTGTGGCGGGGGAAGGAAGGGGTATCTATTCGGGACATTGGTGATCAGAGGTTTTTAATTAGGTTTGTGGCTAAGCGGGATATGCAGTTGGTTCTAGATTCGGAATTTCCTTGGACATTCCGATATGACTTTGTAATGGTGGGTGATTGCACGACTAGGCGAGAGGCACGGTGGAAGGAGTTGTCATTGGGAGACAAGTGGATTCATATTCACAAGGTGCCACCATTGAGTATGACGGATGCGGTTGCTATGGCAATAGGGGGAAGAGTGGTACGGTACTTACGGTGGACAAATCGGCTAGTCGAGAATGTATTGGCAGATTTTTTAGGGTACGTATTCGTTTAAATCTACGAGAACCATTGATGCGGTGGATGATGGCTACGTTCCCGGATGAAGGACGAGTATGGGTTCAATTTAAATACGAAGGTTTGCCTAATTATTACTTCTATTTTGGGAAGCTTGGACACGTGAGTAGGGTGTGCAAGGTACATGGAATGCATGACATGCACGGAATGAGGGTGGGAGACGAACCACGGAGACAAGGGTGTTCATTTCTGATGAAGGATTGGAGGCTCAAAAGGATTTGTAGGGCAATGTGATTAGATCACCGTCACGAAGATCCAAAAGTTTAAGTACAGGAGAGGAAAATGGGAGATCAATGGAGTCACGAAGAGATGGCGGAGGGAACCTTAAGGGGATGCAGGGGGATATGGGAATGCGGGATGGAGGTGGTCGTGGTGGACAGGAGAGTAGAAGAACGGAGAATAACTTAGGGGGGATATGGAGGATACAACATCATCACCTTTAAAACAAGGCAAATTTGGTAGGAAGATTAGGGAGGATAGTGAAAGTAGGATGACATACATGGCTCAACGTCAAACTGTGGAAGAGGAGGCCCAGAGGGCACGAGAAAGAGCTTTCGATGCAGGTCTTATTGGACGTGGTCATTGCACCGGGAGTTGAGAATGTTGAGTTGACTGATTTTTGTTGAACCTGAGGTGAGATGGGTTGGGGATGAGGAAAGGAGTCAGAGGGGTTTACAAGTGAACTTGAATGCTCCAGTTGGTATAGAGGAGGAAGGGCGACTGGTGGATAAGCAGTGGAGGAGTATGAACGTCGAGGTGTATCAGGATGGTGTGGTAACTGGTGAGGACACAATGAGGGCTGTTCAGAGTGGAACTCAAGATTCAGACCCCTTTAAATTAGGTCCTATTATTGCTGCAGTTAAGAGGAAGAGCAGACAACTGAAGCGAAGGATTGCAGAAGTAGTGGAGGAAGTTAAGGTTTTGGGTGAAGAAGATAGTAGTGTCCAACATAAAATGGCTCTTATTTTTTTCTGAGATAGAGAAGACCAGCCGTGAGGGGTCTCCAAGGTCTCCATGAAAACACTATGTTGGAACTGTCAAGAAATAGGGGGTTCCTTGACAGTTGATGCACTGGTGGAGCAAGTGCGGCTTCACAACCCATGCATAGTGATCTTGCTTGAGACAAAAAAGAAAAGCGATCGCTATAAGCATTTACTTAAGGTGTTAAGGATGGATTTTATGCAACCGGTGGAACCAAAGGGTATTGGTGGGGGGTTATGTGTCTTTTGGAAAGATGAGGTGGCTATTTCTAGTATTGTTTGGACTAGTTTCTTTATTGAACTAGGTGTTGGTGGTGATCTGATACATTCGGATTGGAAGATGGTAACTGTATACGTAAGTACGGATGATAAGTGGAAGAGAGGGCAATGGAATGAGCTTAGTAAGAGAATTGCTGGTTCAAAAGGGAGATGCATTGTGATAGGTGATTTTAATGATGTTGATGCACAAAATCGGCCAGGACTTTGGTACAACGGAAAGTGTCAAGTTTGTGACCTTTACTAAGTTGCTCTGGTCATTAGTGTGGATAAGTATGTAAATGAATAGAGACAGGGAAGCAAATAACACAAGATATACGTAGTTCACCCAGATTGGCTACATCCACGGAGTAGAAGAGTTCTCATTAGTTGTGAAGGGTTTACACAGATACATAGGTTCAAGCTGTCTTTTAGTGAGTTCTATTGAATAGTTTAGTACCAATGACATTAGTGATTATTGTGGGAGAATGATCCCCCTTTTATAGAAGAGAGTTTCTAGCTTTGTTCTGACATTAACACGTGTCGTGTTGTGATTGGCCTCTGATATCGACACGTGTCGCGCTGTGATTGGCTTCTGATACCGACATGTGTCGTGTTGTGATTGGCCTCCTGGTTAGAGGAAAAGTCTTGTGGATCATTGACGATATGCTGTTGACCGGTGCTTAGTAGTTTCGGGATTGGTCAAGTATGGTACAAACGGTGCTCCCTTAAGTTCCCGAGTGAGGGAAGTTCCTCAGTTGGGGACTTGCAAGATCCAAGCCATTAAGTAATCACGAAACTTCCAAGTTCCGAAGTGTGGTGTCGCCTTCACTTGCCTTCTCTGTCCTGTAAGTAGATGTGGCATCTTCTCTTGGAAGTACTTTTCCTTCATCTAGGAGTCGTATCTTTAGTTGGCGTTGACGCACAAGGTAATGTATCATTTTCATTTGAAGCTTACTTGTAGTTTCGGGTTTGGTCAAGTGCGATACAAACCATATAGTAGGAGTCCCCCAAGTCTCTAAACGAGGATATCTGCCGAAGGAGGTGGCAGGCAAGATAAGCAATCAAGGTTCCAAGCAATCAGTCTCAGATCGGTAAGTTGATCTTGGGTTCCGGCTGATTGTACTCATTCTCCCTGTCTCTCATTCAGCAACAAGGATAAAGAGAAGAAACAGGGAGAAGAAATGATATGAGGTATTCTTGTTTTTGGAGAAGACGGACGAATCGGCACGTGCTTTGTTGTACTTGACTTTCCACATGTGTATTCTTGAACTGGGCTGGAGGGTTTTCTGGTTTCCTCCAGAGGAGCGAGCCGACTCCAGAATTTAAGGGTCAAAACAAGTCCGTCAAACCTGGAGTATGTTCGATCCTGATGATATGGGATACTTTTGCTATTTGACAAAATAATAGATGTGGTATGGCCAAGCTTTGTTCTTCGACAACGGTGTTGGCAAATGGCTCTTGAGGCTTCTCAATCTCTTCAATTAGAGCAATGATGCCGAGCCTGGATTTTTTATTTTGTTAAAGTTTGCATGTTGAAACTTCGTGGGTAGACCCTGTAGGTTGAAGTAATGCTCCCTTAATTTCTTGAGTGAGGAAAACTTTTCGGTTGGGGACTTGAAAAATCCAAGGCACTGAGTAGTTGCGAAATTTCTGAGTACCAAGGTGTAGTGATGTATGGTAAGTCCCCCAAGTCTCCGTTCGAGAGAGTTGACGAGGGAGATGTCTTGCTAGTAGGCAATTTTCCAAACAAAACTTCACCATTTTCCTTTCTAAGTGGTTGCCCAAAATTCCTCCTTCATATATATTTACTATGAGAGTTGTTAGGCCCAAAGAAGGGGAGGCCTAGGCTCATTTCTTTTTTTTTCTTTTTCTTTTTTTTTTTTTGAATTTTTGAATTTTTTATTTTTTTTAATGGGTGAAGCTTTGTAGGTGAAGCTTTTGTGTTGAAGCTTTTGTATTGAAACTTTGTGCGTGAAGTTTTCGTGTTGAAGCTTTTGTGTTGAAGCTTTGGTGTTGAAGGTTTTGTGTTGAAGCTTGTTGGTAAAGCTTTTGTGTTGAGACTTTGTAGGTGAAGCTTTTGTGTTGAAGCTTTATAGGTGAAGCTTTTGTGTTAAAGCTTTGTAGGTGAAGCTTTTGTGTTGAAGCTTTTGTATTGAAGCTTTGTTGGGCACCATAACTTGATTTTGCTTCACACTATCTTGATCAAGAGTGTGTGAAGCTTTTGAGAATTGTAGTTGTTCTCCATTAATGAAGCTTTGTAGGTGAAGCTTTTGTGTTGAGGCTTTGTAGGTGAAGCTTTTGTGTTGAAGCTTTGGTGTTGAAGGTTTATGGGTGAAGCTTTGAGGTTGAAGCTTTGTTGGGCACCATGAATTGATTTTGCTTCACACTATCTTGATCAAGAGTGTGTGAGGCTTTTGACATTTGTTGCTGCCCTCCATTTGTTAAAGCTCTTGTGGTGAAGCTTTTGTGTTGAAGCTTTGTAGGTGAAGCTTTGTTGAGCACCATGAATTGAATTTGCTTCACACTATATTGATTAAGAGTGTGTGAAGCTTTTGAGAATTGTAGTTACCCTCCGTTTGTTGAAGTTGTTGAATTTCCCAATTTCTTCTCTTTTTTTTTATTTTTTTTTTTTGGGGGGGGGGGGGAATTAGAAATTTGAAAATGTGGGAAAGACAACATATACAAATTTTGTGGAAGAGATACAACATATACAAATTTTTCTTCCACACTGTTGAGCAAGAGATTGTGATGCAAGCCACACCTTGTAGTAGTCGAAGGTTTGGATGAACCATATAAATTGAATTTGCTTCAAACAGTCTTGATCAAGAGTGTGTGAAGCTTTCTACGAGCTGTAATGTTTGCATTGTTACAGAGGAGAAATGTCTGAAGCAGATGTAAGAGGGCTGAAGAGCTTGATCTTCGTATACCATGCACTGAAGCCTTTGTTGGCTTGCAATAAGACTTTGTTGGTGACTATAACTCTTGTTAGGCATATGTGCTCCCCTAGTTGAGTTGTAAAACTTGAGGGTTTTTTATTATTTATGAATGCTAGGAGTTCACATGTACAAATTGTACCACTCGTCTTCTGGTTGGTGGAATGAATGGTGAGTTGCTTTCATCACTTGGTTAGTGGTACGAATGTGAGTTCCTTTATCACCTTTAATCACATTTCACCACCTAGTTGGTGGCACGAAGATGAGTTCCTTCTTCACTTGG